TTTGAGAGACTGAAAAGTGTTGGAAACTGATGAGTCATTAGGAAGGTTTTGCATATTTAATTTGCATACATGCAGGAATAAATTCTTCTAGATTTAATTTAGCCTGATTCTATAAGCAGTGAATTAGGAATATAGTGAACCAACTGCCCTAGCGCAAAAGGTTATGCAAAGATATATTTAGGGGTTGTGGGGTCGGTGAAGTCTTCTTGCATGACGAATCAAACATGAGGGGAATGCATATGTGACAACCTGTTTTAAATGAATGATTGGGTTTGATGTTCCATTTTATGTTGCTTATTACTTTATAATAACATCCATCTGCAGATAAATTGCAATTCAAATGCAAACAACTAAAGCTTTTAGAAGGTTGAATTATGTTTAAACGGGGCAATAGGACACAGAAAATTTTACAACACCTTACTTTAGAAAATAATAATAATAATTGATTTTTTGAACATTATATTCATCTAAAAATAATAACAATTAAAAAATAATAAGAGAATAACAGTAAGAAATTAATGATTTGGATAATTTGACACTGAATGATCAATTATTAAACAACTGTTTTGCCATTCAAATAATAACTTAAGTTTTAAGTATGATAAAGTTTTAAGCTTTAAATATATTAAAATAGAAACATTTTGGTAACACTTTCGTGTACGCACCACTTCCCCCTAAAAACTACTGATTTAACTACTTATTATTAAGTATTATTGGGTTTTACTGTGCTCAAATTGCTTTGTTTACTCAAATGGATTTGATTTACCATAATAGGTAGCCGTTAGGTGTGCAATCTAATCCAAATGACAAAAATAAAGCTTCTTCAATTTGGTCTCCTGTCAAAACAAGATCTAAAAAGCATTAAGCCAAAGAAAGGTTGTATAACTCCTATTTTTATCCAGAATTTTAATTTCTCTCAGATTTCACTCCCCGGAGCATCTGACATAATGTAGACATGCGTTAGGGCTTCTCCAACTGTAATACACCTAAAACCCAGATTGCTTTAAAACTTGTCAATGGCAGGGAAACGTTTTCTCATGTTAACTGAAGGAAAAGAGTTAAACAAAACATTTACCGGTTTCACGCACATCATAATACCAGTCATACATGTAAAGCACAAATGATGTCTGAGAATTCGGTCACGTGAACCAATCTCCATCTATTTGTTCCAATGCTCCATTTGTTAGACGTTTGCTCCAACTTTCTTTTGCAGTCAGAAGTGGTTCAAATGTACAAAGAAACCAATTTGCACCATAGGATGTTTATACCTCATCCTTGCATTGACTTCACATGTAAATCGCTCACGCTTCATCCGTGTCTGCTTACTGCATAAGCTGAAAACACCCCCTTCCGTCTCCCATTCCATTCCATGTAGTGATTGTGAGGGCGCAGGTCAGTCTTTTTTCGAGAGACATTTAAATACATCATGTGTGCTGTGTATGGAACATCTTTACATCATCTCATCTCATTTTGTCTGGGTCGTGGGGCCAGCAGTCTAGGAGAGAACCCCAGATCTCCCTCTGTCCAGACACTTCCTCCATCTCCTCTGGGGGAATCCCAAGGTGCTCCCAGGTCAGCCCAAAGACATTGTCCCTCCAGCATGTCCTGGGTCTTCCCCGAGGCCTTCTCTTAGTGGGACATGCCTGGAACAACTCCCTAGGTCCAGTAGGCATTCGAAACAAATGCCTGAACCACCTCAGCTGACTCTACTCTGAGCTCCTTCCGGGCGACAGAGCTCTATAAGGGTGCGCCCTGCTACCCTGTAAAGAAAACTCTTTTCGGTTGCTTGTATCTGAGATATTGTCCTTTCGGTCATTACCCAAAGCTCATGTCCATAGGTGAGAGTAGCAACGTAGATTGATCAGTAAATCGAGAGCTTTGCCTTTAAGCTCAGTTCATACTTTACCACAACAAACTGATACATCAATCGCATTATTGCAACCCTCTGCACCAATCCACTTGTCAATTTCACATTCCATCCTTCCCTCATTTGTGAACAAAACGCCAAGATACTTGAACTCCTACACCTGGGGTAAGGACTTTCCTTCAACCTGGAGATGACAAGCCATCTTTTTCAAGTGGAGCACCATGGCCTCGGACTTGGAGGTGCTGATTCTCATCCCAGCCACGTCACACTTGGCAGGAAACTGTTCCAGTGTATGTTTGATGAAGCCAACAAAACAACATCGTCTGCAAATAACAGAGATTTCTGTAAAAATTATGAACAGAATTGGTGACAGGGCAGCCTTGTCTGAGTCCAGCATGCACTGAAAATAAATCGGAGTTATTGCCGTCAATGCAAACCCAATTCCTACTCTGTTTATACAGGGACGAAACAGCCCTAAACAGAGCACCTCTGACCCCATACTCCCAGAGCACCCTCCATAGAATGCCACGAGAAACATGGCTGTGAATGCCTTTTCCAAGTCCACAAAACACATGTGGACTGGTTGGGCATACTCCCATAAACCCCCAAGCACCCTGATGAGAGTATAGAGCTGGTCCAGTCTATCCATACGCCACATAAAAATGTATTGCCAACTGAAATAAATATAATTGGATTTTATGGTTTAGAATTAGATGTTTTATGAGATTTTTTATTTTATTTTTTGCAAATATCTTGCATTTAAATTAAGAATTTAGCAAATCGCAAAAATGTTAATTTTTTTGTTGATTTTGAAATGGATTCAGTGATCGCAAAATAACTAGGGTGTCTGATTAAAACATTAGCAGTTTATTAGTAATAATAATCTTATTCCACATCCCCAATCCCTTACCTAAACACAACTACATTACTAACTAAAAATTAAAAATCATTCAAGTCAAAAATCTTAGCTATTGCTTTGTTAATAGCGAGAGTTAACCTTAAAATTAATTGACAACCATTTTTTTCTTGGTTTACCAATGCGGTGACTGTGGTCAATTAACAATATTCTTTTCTCATGCCTAAGATTCCACTTTCTCTGCAAATTCCTGTACGGATGTCTGTAGAGATTGAAGGTTCTCCTCAAACTTGTCAAATCTTTTGTTTGTATTTAAAAGAATCTTGTTTGATATCTTTTGCCAAACCAGTGGCATTGTCAAGGTTTTTGTGTGTTATTTCTATATGTTATGTGTTATGCCATGTGAGTTGTCATGTGCGAGGATGTGTGTGTTTGTTTACCTTTTGCAATGGCAGCGTACGCTCGAATCAGCTGACTTAATCAGTGTCCTCCATCTGATTCCTGCTGTGCTAGCTATGTATTCAGTTGGTGGTTAAAGCTGATTATTAGTCCATTGTTGTTGTTTTTGTTCTTGTCTGTTTGTCTCCCAGGATTTCTCTGCAGTTTGTACGTTGGATGACGTCATAGCTTGGCCTAGTAGGAACTCTTCATTTTTGGACTTTTTGCAAATTTCTTAGTCTCCTGCTTTCAGCCATTTTGTACATTTAGAGAATTATTATTTTTTTTTATTTCACATATAATTATCTTCACTGGCAATTGGATCTCTTCTGTCTTTGATCGTAACAGGCATATCATCATCATTGATTGCTTGTAGCACAATTAGCTTCATGGAAATAGTTCATGGCTGACTAGAGCTTTTCAAGACGTTTGCTGTTTTTAAAAGCATTTTCAAATATTAAAATGTAGGCCAAGTGTTAAATGAAACTTTCCAACACAAGCACACAAAGTAAAAAAAGTAAGGATGGCAACTGTTGGACTTTTCCTTGTCCTTCCAGGTTAAAATAACAGTCAGAGGCTTTAAATAAATTGAATTAATTAGATGAATAAAGCATTACAGAGTTCTGGGTGTCAGAGAACAGCAACACAGGCAGTATGTGTCAGTTGAGCACACACCCACTTCCTCTTCGCCCACATATTTGTCGTTGTCTCTCTTCAGCCCCGCCCGGGTGCACTTAAGTAAGAAAGATCCTCCATCCACATCAGTTCCATCAGAACAAGCTAATCTGCACAGAAAAAGTTACGCATATACATAACAGAGCCCACAAGAGGGTAAGACTTCGCCCCTCCCATCCATGATTGTTACTCTTAACGAGCACATTCTGAAAGTAGAGTTGTAACATTTCTCACTTATCACACAAAGCCACAACTGTTATGGAGGAAAGTTATATGAGGCTAAGCACATAAGGTTATATGAGGATAAGTGCATTAACATAAGTTCATGTAGTTAGTTAAAAACGTAATTAATGCAAGAATTGGTATATTGATGCATAGGACAAAGTTAAAATCATCAAAAATGCTTTCACAACTCATTTTGGTCAATTGCTCAATTTTGGCGTGGAGGAGCTTGGCTAAACAAGCTTACTTCATGCAGACACTAGCAGTACGCCAACTGTTTTTATTTCTAAATTAAAATATGATTTCACAATATTACTGTTTTTATGTATATCTGTTTAAATAAGCAGCTTTGGTGAGTGTTTGCACAACTGCGTCTGTGGTGTTTTAAATAGAACAGTTCACCACAATAATTTTATTTACTTGCAGTTTATCAACTTAAATCTTTATGGGTTTATTTTCTTCTTCAGAATGCAAAATACACTATTTGAAATCATTTTGGATGGTGAAAGGTGAATAAATTATGACATTTTTAATATTTTTTTTTCTTTCACATTAAAATTAAAACTTAAATAATTAACTTTTAGTTCAAACTAAAAATTAATACAGCTGCCTATCTACATGTATGAGAATAATTTATTCTTGATTATCTGATCATAATTTGAATTCTCAGAAAGCCAACAGAAATTTGGCCCCAGTCATCAAAACCAAAAATTATAGCTCATTATGTATAAACCCAGGTCAATGCAATTCAGTATGAAATACAGAATAACAGAGCACGACCTAACATGGCAATTCTCACATTGCAGTTACCCTCAATTATCCTGTCTGCTTTATAAAGTTTAATTTGCTATTAGCGAAAACCAAATGAAATTGCTAGTCACTCATAATTAGTCTGGCTTTTTTTGTATAGCCTCTCTTGTCCTTATCCATGATCCATCTACACTGAAAAAAGTGATTTTGGAGAGCGGTAAATATAATCTGTGGAAACCATATAAAATTTACTTGATTATTGCAGCCAGCCAAGGAATTCAAAAGTAATGGGTAAATTCTACATATGCTACCCATTCGTCAACAGTAACAACCATCACATAGAAAAATTCAGTAAAGTATACCCCCAAACCGTGAGTTTATTGCTTGAAATTGCGCATGCGTCAGCCCGCGTTTTTGAGTGAGTGTGGACGACGCTGGATCTTCTCACCGGCTGCCATGATCGAACAAACAGCAGAAATTAAGGTAAGCAATTTTACATGCTGTATATTGCGCAAATGTAATTGTATTTTTTGAAGTTTTGAGATATTACACTTCACTTGTATTAGACGTTCGTTTGTTTAAAATGCCATTTCTTAAAATTAAAGTTTGAAACTGTCGCTGGCGTCACCGTGGCCCGGGACACACTAAGCCGACAGCAGGTGGAGCAACGTCGGCCACTCGGTCAGGCGAGTAGGTATTTTGTGTTCACGCGTCGGTTAGATGTGCCAAGTGCCATAGGTTTGGTGTGTCCGGGGCTTTAGCTGTCTGCACAACTGCCGGTAAGCGGGGTTAGGTTGGTTTTGTTTTTTGATACTCCTGACACATTCAGACGGTCCCTTACCGAGCATGAGGCGCCACTCAGCGCGAGCTCTCCCGGCAACTGTTAAACGCAGATTGCGAGGGCTTGATTGGAGCAGTGCTCGTAATGTCGAGCGAAAAAAAAAGAAAAAGACAGCTGTGAATTATAACCAGCTTTGTATTTTTGTAGGAAACACAGTTTAGATATTTTAGGGTAAGAGGTTTTTGAGTTATTGCCGTCCATCACTGAACCTGTCAGGAATATCGAAAACAAAACCAACTTAACCCCTCTCTGCCGGTATGTGGTCGTTTTGTGCTTTTTACAAGATTAGTCAGCATGCAAGACTGTGTCTGACCGCTGGTTTTAAGGTTAGAAACTAGTCAACTCAAGGATTAAAAAGGAAAACATAGTGTATCCCACGAGTATGTGGGAAAACACCCACTGCTGCACCTATGTTTTTAACGAATTGTGGGATCACGCAAAACATCTTAGAACTGATTTTTTATTATATTTTGTATTTTAGAACGTCAGTGCTTAATAAATGTTTTCATAATCTAGTCATATGTTTTATGAGGCATATTACATCTATGATGCTCATTAAATGAAGCATAGATATTAATATATGTAATTTTAATGCCTTTATTTTTGTAAATTAAGTACACAGTCTGTTATTTCTTCATAACTGACCCTTGTCAAACAGCCTTGATCAGAGAAGCAGAGATAAACTACCGTATTTCCCCAATTAATCGGCATTCTGAAAATAGTTATTTTAAATGCCTGGGGTTATAATTAATTTTTGCGTATTAAACACCCACCCGAATAACCCTCAGTGGTGATTATATACATTAAATTGGGGTAAACACAAAATCAACTGTACAAAATTTAAGTGAGGTACATGTCTGAATTTCTTTTGTGTAATTTTCATTTTTATTTCTGTTGCAGGCAGAGTCTGTATATGTGGACACTCACTATTTGCCCTCTCTACAGTTTCTCTTGTCTGTCCCCCACAAGCAGAGACCCACTGATAGACCGCTGTTACCAGTTCTAGGGCTGACACATCCGCACACGTCCACATCACAAGTGTATCCTGTAAAGGTATGCAAGTTTTCCAAATAAAATAAATCACATTGTCCTTAAAGGTCTTTAACGAAAGTCTTCAGTTATGGAAAAATGAAATGGAAATGCAATTTATAAAATAAATTAAAAAATGAATAAAACCTTCTCTAGCCAAAGAATTGAAGTGGTCAGTCTCAGCCCCTCTTTTGGTGGTTTTAAAAAAAGGTATTATTCACTGAGGCTCAGGTGAAAATATTTAAAATATATTTTAAATAATAATATTTTTTCTTCCAACTAAGATACTTTCATGTGATATATATGAGATCTGGTTTGTGATTTAAAATAACATTTTTGGTCCTTTTACTTCCTAGATCAAGGAGGAGCATCACAACAGTTTCGTTGAAGTAGACATTCTTGTGGAAGCTTGATGAGTACACACCAGGTTTTGCAGCTAATGCATGCCAAAGGAGGAGCAGCTAGTTGCAAGATGCATCCTCTGCTGGACAGTTTAAATGTATGTTATTTTATTTTTTTACAAATATATAATTATTGATGTGAGGGAATTAAAAGTGAAATAATTTGTAAAAAATTGCTTTAAGTTGAGCTCCATACCAACTTAAACTACCTTTTAACATCAATGTGTAAATTGATTTTCTTTACTGCTTTATCCATTTGGGTCATGAGTAGCTTGAGACAACCAAGCATTTATCAGGCAAAGGGGCAGGGTTCACTCTGTACAGGTCGCCAGTCTATTCCTGGGCCAGAATTTGGTCTTAATATATGTAAATCACTCCCACACTAAATTGTGTCTCCCTACAGACACAGAACATTGAGGAAAAAAAGAGATGCTGTTGTCTGCTGCCTCAATAACTACCTTGGGGAAAGACAAGAAGATATGTTCCATGACTGGCAGGTATGTCATATTGATAACAGATTCTTGATCAACTCAAGTGATCCTCCTCTTATATCCCCCTTCTCCTTTTGTCTTCTACTCTCCTCTGCTCTCCTTTAGATAAACTGAAATATATTGAAACAGAATCTTAAAATAAAATTGTGTTTGCTTTTTGTTTGTTTCTTTTTAATGTAGGAATGTGAGGAGTACACAGACAAAACGATGAAGGAGATTGTGAAGCACAATTTGTCTATTGTGATCGGGGGAAAACAAGTGATGGAAGGATGAGGAAGCCAAACAGAGGCATGCATACTGCTGGGACTCATATGCAATTAACATTGAATATCCAAAGGAGCTGAAAAACACGTTTGAAGCTTTTCAAAAACTTTGTTTTAGAAAATGATGGGGCAAAACCACTGAAGAAGGTCCACAGCCTCAAAAATAAGCTCATGCAGTAGACATTTCTCCTCTTACTTAAAGAGGATCTTTTGTTTGGACATGCCTTAATGGAGTTGTAATGGAGTGTTTTATATATTTTTTTTCTCTTCCATCATTTGCTTCACACACAGACAAAGACCCATCCACTGTCTCAGCCCTCTCCATTGCTCTGTGTTTTCCCCCATATTGACAGAAAAGGAATACTAATAGAAAGTGGCCTAAAGAATTTTGATCTCACCTACCGTCTTTTCTTCCCCAGTTGTTTGTTTATTTTATTCTCATCCTATCTGCGAGAGTGAGAGTAAGGACAAAAAATAAAGAATTTTGTTTTACTTTTATCCGGATATTTGATACTGTACATGCACAAAAACAACCACAAGTCTGTGTGTGTGCTTTTGGCTTTTAAAATAGAATAAGTGGCCTTTGAAGTTTTGTATGCAAGTAGCCAATTACCAGAAAAAACTTTTGAAAATGAGTATAGTGAGTTATAAAACAGGTTTATTTGTTCATTGTTGTGTGAAGCTGTTGTACTTTATTTAGTACTCTTTTCTGTGTTTTAATAATTTGGTGTCCTAAAACGGGTATATGTTTTATTATTCAACATTATTGACAAATTTGATAGATCAGTGAGTTATAAAACAGGTATATACTTGAAATGTTGTGTAAAGCTGTTGTGCTGCACTATATTTTGAGTGTGTTTTAGGATTTTTTTTGAATAAAACATTAAGTTGATAACCCATTTGAATGTCTTTATTGTAGAGGTACATTTTACCTTTTCTGAATAAGTAATTGTTATTAAGTAACTGATATTAATAAACTTTGATTATATAGATAATTTTTACCCAATAAGTAGCTGTTGTATATATACATAAATGTGAGGTATATTTTACCCAATTTATGTAAGTATTTAATAACTTTTTACTTCAGATAGTTTTTACTCAATATATGGGATTAAATCTACCCAGCCAAAGTCGATGCAAATTGTTACCTCAGATTTATTGGGTAAATTCTATAGATTAGTTTTTACAGTGTACTACCAAACTAAAAACACAATACAGACTTTTCCACATCTGCAAAATATGGGGTGAGATTGATGTCAGATTGTAAATCTTGATCTCTAAGACATCTCTTTAAAATTGAAAAGAAAACACACACATGTAATAAGCTTACAATGAGCAGGATCATTTCAAAGAAATGTCCTAAAGCTTCAGTCATACACCAAAAGTGTATCATGCTGCCAATTCCATCATTCCAAAACAAGACGCTCTGGAAAGAATCTAATTTCTCTAACAATAAAGAGATGTATTGAAGAACATCCCGTCCTGAATATTGAATTAAAAGATACTGTAGCTTGCAGCTTCTTCTCTGCGGGCAAGCTTTCTTGCAGGAAATGAAGGATTACCTGCTCTCAACCTCACAAGGATGAGTGTGGCTGGTAAAGGAGACAGAGAGAGGAACAGACGTGATGAGTCTCACAGCACCCTTCATTATATATAAAAAAAAAGGATCTGACAGTGGATGGGTGACTAGGGAGATTGTGATATTCCTTTGGGGGGTGGTGACAGTAAAAGAGGACTGTTGTGAGGTGATGCAAGGTCCACACACAAGGGAGATTCTAGCCTGTTTGCAACACAGTCAGCTTGGTTATTTCTGTTATATTCATGGTTTCAAGGATGCAATCTGCATGGAAGTAAAGCAACCTGTAGGGGTGCAATGATGAAGCTTTATGGTAGAGATGATGAGGCACTATGTCAACCAATGTATTTAGAGGATATGAATAATTCAGATGCAAAAACCTCTAAATCCATCAGACCGCTTTTCTTGTAAATGGACATTTTCTATCAGGCTCCTCTGGTTAGGTTCAGAAGTTTCATTTTATGTGTAATGATGAGGTTAGGTAATAAATAAAATACCTTTCTTTCAAAAATGTCACTAAAGACAATTCTTTGTTTTTAAACAATGTAAATTTTCTTTTGCGTCAAAACCAGCTAAATCCACTTCTGCTTTTTATGCAAAACCCTTTAAATGTACCTATGGTGACATGACAGTGAAATTATTTTATCAAACATAAAACACATTACACAAACCACCTGAAATTTGAAATATATAAATCTGTAAAGTAAGTGGCGGTTCATTCCGCTGTGATAAACCAGGGAAAAAGCAGACGGAAAATAAATGAATGAAATCTGTCAAGTGCATTAATCAATAACATTAAAACTGACATTATTTAATAACAATCTGTTGTCATTTCTGATATTTGTGATTTAGATTGAATGCAAGTAGAACAATGTAAACATTTCAAACATTGTAAGCTAAGCTTGGTAGATTAAAATAATGTAGTGTAAAATCATTGTAAAAATTAATATCTGCATTGTCCATTAATATAAAAGCTTATCAGATCTATAGGTGATATGAAGTAGTATACATAATATATAGTTTTATACATTATATTTATCTTTTTAAAAAAATGCTTAATTTGGCAAATAAAACACATAGTAGGCCTTTTGGGCAAAAGGGGGATGCCTCTCAGACTATTTTAGAAGCTGTCATTCATTCATTCTCACCATACTGTCTTGGTCCCTTGTTTATCCCCATAGCATCCACGTGAGATAAAAGAACAGCATCTTAACTCTGTCTTTCCTGAAACGGAGTTGCCATTTATTGTATAGTAAATCGGACTCATTCCCAGAGATGGGTTGCGGCTGGAAGAGCATCTGCTGCGTAAAAACTTGCTGGATAAGTTGGCGGTTCATTCAGCTGTGGCAACCCCTGAATAATAAAGGGACTAAGCCGACAAGAAAATGAATGAATAAATGAAATCGGACTTATTCAAAGTAGCGTCACTGCACATAAACAAGTTATGAATGCATGTTACATATGTTACATTTGCCATTCACTGGTAATCGGACAGGCTCATCCAGTTCATCAAACTTCGTCTTTTAAAATCGAAAGTGGAATATATCTCCTCATAAAGTCGATGTATCAGCGAGCTGCTACATTGAAAACATATGATTCGATTCACACTTCTGATTGTCTCTCGGGATATAGCGACTTTTGCTGTCAAAGGCAGGTGGCGTTTAGCAGCTTTTGCAAACAGTTATTTTTGAATGCGCTGACGCTGGGATTTAGATGATTTGAAGAAAATCTATTTGTTGATAGTGTAGAACATGCCTAAAGCATTCACTCAATGGCCATTATCTAATTTTTTGGCGTAAGTGGGGTTAGCAGCTTTTACATCTGAACTCTTCAAATATTGTTAGTTTTTGGATGAAAACATTTTGTAAAAACTTTTGTAGTACCACTAGAGTTGATAGTGACTTGAGAAAAAAATAAATAATGCCGGTCATTTTTTTAACCCAATGCTGGGGTAAGACTAACTAGGATTAAGGGCTTATTTGATGCTTGTAACAAGATTTGTGACCATTGGAAAATGGAGGTAGCTACTTGCTCAAACATGAAAAATAAACAAAACATAGACACACACACACACACACACACACACACACACACACACACACACACACACACACACACACATACACACACACAAAGGCAAAAAAAAAAAAAACATGTCTCAGACCTGCTTCTCCTTTTATCCTTTGAAGTGCTTGTTACAATTTGCCCCACCAGCCTTGCTCTGTTTCCATAGCTCTTGGCAGTGTTTGGAAGTAGCTAGCTATAAGTAGCTCAGCTAGCAGCTTGGTTACATTTTCAGTAGCTTGACAATAGCTCACCTACTTATGATGCGATGTAGAGGTAGCCTTTCCAGCAGCTACCTACTTTTTCCAGCAAGTAGCGGAGTAGCTTGAAAACAGCTACAATACATTCAGTGAACCTTCAGTGCTAAGTAGCACAGCTTTGTCTTGCAAGTTTACATACAATATAGTACTGTATGAGTGTATGAGTGTTTCCCAGTAATGGGTTGCAGCTGGAAGGGCATCCAATGCGTAAAACATGTGCTGGATAAGTTGGCGGTTCATTCCGCTTTGGCGACCCCAGATTTATAAAGGGACTAAGCTGAAAAGAAAATTAATGAATTAAAAAGTTATGTGCATTTATATACCGCACTTATCGTGTAGGGTCAGAAATAAATAAATAGATTGTAAATAATTTGTTTTTATAGTAACGATTAAAAAACTTTAAGATCAAAAATCACTATTATGTTTGTGGCCAGCTTATTTATCAGGTCCACCCCCAAAGGACAGTTTTTGATTGTGTATAGTTATTGCTCATGTCATCATTGTACATCTGATGTCAACCCAGGATCATTCAGATTATGTACCCCTATATACATTTCTGGAGAGAGCAAATTATGTCCCAGGAAATACTTTTTTGCAGTTTTTGTTATTTGCAAATTCACCAGAGGCCGTTTGTTGTGAGCTGTTGACTGACTTACTGACAGACCAACTGACTGATTCCCCCACCCTCCTCTTTTCTAAACCCAACCATTAGTGTTTTAAAAAGCACTGATTGACCCACCCATCCCCATGGATGTTCTTCTGTTTTTCATCAGACTCGAACACCCATTGTCGCAGTCAACTCCAATCTGCGTTTCAAGTCTGTCGACTTATATGTCGAGCTCACAAACAAACAGGTGACAGCAGAATAGCTGTACATATGGAGGTAAGCGGTCAACTGGTAAGCGCAAAAAGGAAAAGCCTCATATCACCCCATAATGTTCATTTTAAAGATGAAATGCAGCAATACGTAACTTTAGCTTCAAAATTCCCGATCTCCAAAAATGTATATAAGGCTACGTTTTCAGAATGAGCCTTTATTGTCTGATGTTGTAACCTTGTCATTGACTAAAATTGACTAAAGGATTGTTGCACAGGATTATACACTATGTCACACTATAGACTGGAGGAGAAACAGGAAGGTGCAGACCAGATTGAAGACAATGAAAATAGAGGGTAGAGCTGGTAAGAGGTTAT